GATCTGCTGTTGTGACCCCATAACTGACCTACACAACTTCCTGGGTGGCTCTTTGGACTGTTCTCTCTAGGGGATGTGTCCTGTAGGAACAGAACGGAAATCCCAACAGAAGCAAGAGGGCCTTTTCCATCTTGAACCCTGAGCATTTGTTTATGTGACGTCAGCTCTGGTGAAAGATCCCCAGCTCTGGAGCCATAAGCCCTCTGTTAATCCCCAGTGCTGTCTGGGCAGGGGCAGGTGCAAGGGCAGGGGACGCTTCGCCCATAATGTGGCTCAGCTCTGACCAGGAGGGACCACCTGTAGTGGTGAGACTGGAGCGCCGTCTCTGTGGTCGATATAATCCTTGGCCTTTCTGTTGCGGATGGCAACAGGGAGCTAGTTAGCACCAGCTGTGATTCTAATACTTTGGGAACTAGAATGGGACCCCCAAACTCATTTCATATGGACCTCCATATTAGGTGGTAAGAACATTGGACCACCACCCTCCTATTCTGGATTCAGACCAGTGAGGGACACGTAAGCAAAGGTCTCTGTATCCTCAGCCACCCAGACCCCAAGCTCTCTCTCTCTTTTGTGACTATTTCTCCCGCTTACTAAAAAAGTCCATGTGCATGAACATTCTCACTATGCTTTTCAGCTCTGGACTGCATTGAGATACCAGGGTCATTAAAGCAGATTGATGTCAGTAATGGGCAGGTGTTTGGAGTGAACAGCGCAGGCAATATTTACACGCTGTATGGAGACAGCTGGGCCCAGCTGCCGGGCTCCTTGAAACACGTCACAGTTGGTCCTGCCGGAGTCTGGGGTGTGAACAACAACGACAACATCTACAAGCTGGTGGGAGGAAGCTGGCAACAGGTCACAGGTAACGTATGAGCTTTGATATATCGTGGGGACGACAAAATTAGCCTCTGTTAGGATCCTGTGCCCAGTTCCAAACTCCGACCCCAGGTGGTTGTCACAATTCCCACCAGATGGGCCACTCTTAGGGTCTGACTACAGTTTGCCTGTATAGTTACATTGGTACCGGTTTTGTACCATGAACTCTATAGGGAAGCTGATCTAGTTGAATTGGTGCAACCCCCGAGTGTAGATGCAGTTGGACAGGTATGAAGTTGCTTATGTCCGTACATATTATTTTGGGAAATGTAGGGAAATAAGCGATGCTGATATGAGCCCCTTGTTACTGGTCCAATTGTGTCTTCACCGTGCGGTGTCACTGATTTCATTCTGTGCATTTCCAGACTGATACAAAGCAGTACAAAAACACGCGTAGTCCAGTCCTTAAATTGAAATCAGAATGTTCACACAGGCCTGTCTACACATGGTTTGTACACCAGTCTGACTATGTTGGATAGGAGTGTGATTTTCTACCAAAATAGCTACATCCATATAACTTTCTACACTTGGGGTTATATCCATATAAAGGTGCCTTTTACCAGCATATCCTCTGGGTATAAGCACCTTCAGACCGGTGCTAGTAGCTGAAAGCCCAGGGTATCACACAGGTGTGGCAGTAGGACCAAGTAATCTGGGCAGTCTAGATGTTCTACGCTTCAGAGTGACACATTGAGAGGTGACAATCCTGAAATCTTATTATATAGATAACTGAGCCCACAGTAGAGGCTTTCTACTACAGGGGTTTACACTGGCTTCACACCATTGGTT